GTTTCTACATCTTTTTAACTACAACTAGGCCTTTTTTTTTTTTTTTTTACATCTTTGCAATTAAGAAATCAACTCAAATCAAGTGTTATGGATATAGATGGAAACATCAGTTTACGTGTAACAGTTAAAGTAAGACTTTACAATCGAGGCCCAAGTTTAAAAGCTTTTTTAACTGAAACATAAAGTTGCAATTAAAACAGTTTTTTGTTTTTCAGTTTACTGTTGAAGATGAATCAATCCTTCAGTCTTCATGAAGTGGATTCAGTATCAGCAGATGTGGTTAAAGTAGCTCTGAGGTTTGGGAGGAACATTTTATATCAACATTTATTTTGTCTCCCTTCACAGCCTGACTACAAACTAAACATCTCGTTTAGTTGCTACCGTCATGAAAAAATGCACTAAAGCTATTCAGAACTTTACTATACATTATAGATTGGGTGTAAAGAAACAGAAACATCTTTGTAACAGAATCTGTACATTAACTGTATCTGATACAGTTTTTGAGGCTGTAGCAGCAACATCCTGACACGACTGAGTTGAACCAGACCAAATAATGGTTCCAGGCACTGGTTGAGAGGTAGTCGCATGTGTATTTTCAGCTTGACATAAATGCCACTTTCGTGAGCCAGCAAGCTAAAAACATCCATTCTGAACTCTAATTTGAGGGTTAATGTCCAGATGTACAATGTTATTTGAATTATGCAAGGGCGTATGTTCAAGGGAGTGGAGGAGAAAAAAAGAAACATTCCCTTGATCTTGTTTGGGTGGGCCTCTCTTGCCGCCCTGCCTTTAAAATTGCGAGTGTGCCTTTTTATTCTATAAAAAGCATGGGTTTGTATTCGCTCTGTATACTTACTGAGGGGCAAGTATGGGAGAGTAGGGAGGGCCCAGATGTAAATTAGTGGGCTCACTTGGGTTCACCACCACAACAAACTGAGAGGATGGACCTTTGAAATGTCTCAATCATATCATGTATTGTAGGTTTTAGGGCCAATCTGCGGATTACTGCAGGCAGTGAAAAGGACAAGATGACGATTTATGACTTTAGTTCATCCAGTGACCAGAGCCGGAGGCACATATTTTCTCAGATGCACAGAAAATGCTGCACTGCACTTATAAAAAAACAAAACAAACCTTCCAAAAATTACTGTGATTCAAATACTCTCGAGCGCAAGCGACAGAAAGCATATGACTGCTTTATTTGTGCACCATGCTCACGGATCGTTAACTTCCTCAGAGACCACATATGTCTCAACATCTGCCTGAAGCAAGAAGCCTCTGTCTTGAAAGAACCTCTAAGCTGGTACTTTTTGGAATCATTACCATGTATTTTTTTTATCGTAGTAAGATAACCCGCTTGAACCATCTAAAATAAACACTGAACAACACCTGCTTTTACCAGATGTTGCTTATAGATCCTTTTTTAATAAGCTGTACTGTGTGTTTTAAATCTAAGCTCTGTTTATTGTTTGAGCCTTGTCAAAAAGGAGACTTTCTGTCACTGGACAGACATCAAAGTTTATCAATCCATCTGTCCGTCCGTCCATCTGTCTGTCTGTCAGTCAGTCTAAAGAACATCACCTCCAGTTTGTGGTCATGTGTCAGTAAAGCAGCTGGGTAAAAACACAGAGGCGTGGACGCCGGCTGTGCCACTCTTAAGAAGTCATGCTGCGGATTTACGCAGGTCCTGTTTCCTTTTCTTAGTGTTCACACCTCTTTTACTATTTCTGGACCTTACTCACAGGGTCCCAGCTGAGTCTTATTGACAGGTATTTCTGTGCATAGGTCGACTTCTAGCACTTAGTTAACGACTTTTAGCACTTAGTTAACGGGGAGCTTCCAGTCATGTGGTGAACAAAGAATGAGGATATGGTGAGGATTATCACATCATGTAGAGCCTGTAGTTTGTTGTTTTGCTGTAGTTGGTCGTAATTTTAAAACGAAGACAGTTTTTTTTTTTTTTTTTTTGTCTTTTAGTATGCCAAAAACTCCTGCTTAATATCAGACACTTGCCAACTATAAGTTACTGATTAGTTTGAGTCCTGTGTGGGGAAAAAGCTGTAATTTGGGTTTTTCAGTTAAAACATAGGAGTGATTGAGAGGCTCTTGAAGCTGGTGATTGTGATTACTCACTGATATAGAAGGTTCCTGGTGCCTGATGGCCTTCAAACTGCAGAATAAGGAGGTTGCTGGTTTGACTGTCATTGCGGAGGTACAAGGCCACACCCAAGATTACGCCTCCAGCCAGCTGTCCCGGAGAGAGAAAAGAGATTGAGATTTGTATGTTTTCGCTTTGGTGAAATCTTCAGACTTAATCAGAGCTTGTTGAAATGTTTGATATTCAAGAGACACATTGGAATGAATATTCAAATAAAAACATGTAGTTATTCATTCTGCAGACTTTTTAAAATACATTATTCAGTGTGTTTCGTTTTGGGGATGGCAAAAAAGCAGACTCGCCAAAGAGCAGGTCTGCTGATGTTTTCTTCTGTGTGTCCAGCCCTGCCGTGAAGCATGTTGAAAGGAAATCCTGACACTACAGTGAACTATGGACGCACTATGACCTCACAGCATTGTTTGACTCCAACTCCGGGAGTTTGTTGTCCAATTGTATTCCCCACAATCGCTCCTAAACTATATATCTGGTGCGGTAAACGTAACATCCTGATATTACTGTTTTAAAGGATGCACTCCTCTTAACGACTCAACTTCAGCAACTCCTATTTTCTTTGTAACAAAGTTTATGTCATATCTGCACATTGAGCGTCGTGACAGCTCTCTATTGTTCTCAGGGAAACAGGAAACCAAATCCTCGACATGAAAAATAGCAAAATAAGGAAGAGAGGGCTCAAAGTTTTCACAATGACAGGCTCAGCAGCAAAACTAACAGGAAGCACTCCATCAAGTGTGGCGTGTCCAGGATACGGGGATTTGTACAAATCTAAAAAAAGACGACTGTTCTGTAAAGACAAACCAAATGGAAATTCACAAACAAGTAACTAGTTCTGACAGTCCAGGGCCAGGCCAGGAACAAACACGGAAAGAGGGCCAACACATCTGCGGTGTGATGTGATGCAATGAAGTTTAAATGGCAGAGGGCTGCAATTAGAAAGAGAAATAACTTGTCTGTAAAATAACATATTCAGAAAATAAAATTGTTCATTTTGATTGTACAAGCTACATTTATAAACTTCGTCACGGGACACAGAGATTTCAAACTTCAAAGGTTCTAAATGAAACAGTCTGGAGAGCAGGTAGGAACAAAGGAAATGTCAGAGGGGTAACCAGCTTTCCCCCTCCCCCAAAAACTCTATTAACCCCGCTCAATCTCCCTCTTTATGAGTGTTTAATCTGGGGAGAGCCAGACTCCTGAGAATAACAAGAAATCACCAAATACTGACTTCTTTATTTTTTTTTTCAGTTTTCCATCCAAAACAGCCTCAGAAATCTGACCTCCATGTGTGGAATATTTAATTCCTGCAATATCAATAATGAAAGGATGGATCTAAAACAGAGTTTATGTTAGACTTGCAGGAGGGAGGAAAGTAGTTTCCTTGTGAGAAGACTGAAGCCCACCCAGTGAGAAGTGCTCTTTCTCTTTTAGGCACTTTGCACTTGTGTCTGCGCATGCAGAAAATCGCTGTTGATGAAGACTAAGAACAGTTCAACTCCTGTCTGGCTGTGGTTTGCTCCTGCCCCTTCTGTGGATGCTGAACTTTTCTCAGAAGACAGCAGCATATTTAAAACAAGCAGGGCGGGTAATATCTTCAGGATTTATCATTTATCATAAGTCATACAGAGATGTTAAAATGAACGGCACCAATCAGAAAACTGGGAAGATGGGAAAGTTTGAGAAAGCAAAGCTTATTACAAATAAACATCAAATGTGCAAGTTTAAAATCAACTTCAGAGTGAAATATGTTCAACTTACCCAGAAAATAAAATTAAATAAAAATAACATGTATTTAATGCATTTCGTGCATCCTGCCACAGCCATGTTGTCTGTCAGCTCGTTCCCTTTTCTCAAAAATGAAACAGTTTGTGAGGCTTGTTACTATCCGGGATCAAGCAGTGTCTGCCAGAGGACTCAGTTTAATCAGGCACGTTGGGGCTGCAAACTCCTCCTTTATAATAAGGAGTGAAAACCGAGACGAGGAACTGCCCACCAACCAACCAACCGAGACGGACAGGAGGAGAAGAAGGCAGAGGGTACAACACCATCTCCATCCGCAAGAGTGAGAAACGTGTTCCCCTCTTGTCTTAAAATAGTTCAGAATTTTTTTTTTAGACTAGAGCAAACTCTTAGGATTAAGTTTATAGAGTAAAAAGAGAAAAATCAATCGATCTTTTCTTAAAAGCCTTAAACACGATTAAATAATGAAATCTGCATCAGCATAGAAATGACACAACCAATTGGCTATGTGCAGCTTTATTTTTTATTTCATTCGAGTATGTGAGGTGTTTCATTGAGAAAAATTAGAAATGGCCAATCATTAGAAAGTCTCTATATCATTGGGATACGCAACAACAACACAAACAGGTCTACTTGATCTTTAAAAATAAGCCTTTGTCTAATCTTCCACAATCCGTTGAGCTTTTAAGATAAGTAAATATATATATATATATATAAATATAGTGACTCACGTTAATGAACTTAACATCTAAAAAAGAAAAGACCCCAAACAACTCTCTGAAGTGAGCGTTGTCTGTCGCCCCCTGCTGGGCGACATTGAACATAGACGGAGGCTAATTAGTATACACATCAAGTGCACAAAGAGCGCAAACAAAAAAAAAATAAAAAATGCAATTCACTCAACTTTCTCTGACAGCATATCTTCTCAGTCAGTGCAGTGAATAACACATGCAGACTGCCACCAAGGCGAGGACAGTCTGATCTATTACATCAGTAAATGAAGAAGCTATAAGAAGGCATATGATCAGACTCTTCCTGGTGTTATGGGCGGATCTGCGCCTTAGTGGCTCCAGGGTCACACCTTCTCCAGCCATCCGTGCGCGAGGAAGATGACTCCCCGCTGACCGGCGACATCCCAAGATCAGATAGAGAGAGAGAGAGAGAGAGAGAGTGAGAGAGAGAAAAAACACTGGGATGCGATGACAAAGTCAACAGCCGTAATTGGAGAACTCGACAGCGTGTTTGAACAAATGCAGCCTCTTCCACTGGGCATGCTCCATCTGCTGTGAGAGAAGAACTGGGCACGGTGTGAATAACAGGCAGTTGGGCGTGTTTTTTTTTTGGAGGAGGATTGTCGCCCTCTCATCGGCAACTGAGTGTTGTTTCACCAAACGACACAGGGGGGGGAAGAAAAAAACTTATTCCACCCTTCAAAAAGGTTGTAGATGTTTTCTTTCTATCCTTGTGTGAATGATAGGGAAAGTCCCTGAGGAGGTGATCATCTCTCCCCGCTGAGACAAAGACCTGCTGCAGCCCACAGCGTCGTTACACGCAGAGAAGGAGCGGGGCTGCGCGTCGGTGTGAAGGAGGTGAGTCTGTAGGCAGCAACAAACAGAGGAGGCAGAGAAGGAAGCAGAGCCGCGTCTCCACCAGGAGCTGTCCGCTCAGCACCACCGCAGTCACCTTGCTGTGAAAGTCAGAAAACCTTGCTCAGGACTGATCGGATCAATCACACGAACTTAAGGAGACTAACGAGCCGGCGCTTGAGATCGGTGCCAGCTTTCTATCTCGACATCTTGGATGTAGCGATGATGTGACGTCCATTCTTGATGTGATGCCATTGGCTGAAATCATTTTGGATTTCGGATTCCATACCTTCCAGTGAGTCCGGCAACTATACACGCTTAGGATCCTCCAGTTGCATGACAGGTGCTTGTATAGAATACAGTAGGGTCTAGAGGGGAGGCAGCCTGATGCGCGTCAAGCTTTTCTTTCTTAGTTGGTGAGACACGACAGGTTGCTTCAGGCGCTGCTTAACTTATATAATTGTTGATCTCTGCTGTAGAAGGGGGCACGGTGCGCCTAGACTTACCTTTGCGATGAAGGGAACTTATTGGAGAAATGCCTAGGGGACGCAATGGGCCTGAGCGACGACAAGGATCGCATTGTGATAAACGTGGGAGGGATCAGACATCAGACATACCGCAGCACCCTGCGCACCCTACCTGGCACACGCTTGTCCTGGCTGGCCGAGCCTGATGCCCCCAACCACTTTGACTATGATGCTAAGATCGAGGAGTTCTTTTTTGACCGCCATCCTGGCGTTTTTGCACACATCCTTAATTATTACAGGACAGGTAAGCTGCATTGCCCGGCCGATGTCTGCGGGCCTTTGTACGAGGAGGAGCTGGCCTTCTGGGGTATCGATGAGACAGACGTGGAGCCATGCTGCTGGATGACCTATCGCCAGCACCGGGAGGCAGAGGAGGCCCTTGATAGTTTCGGCGGGGGGGGCTTGTTAGACCTGGCGAATGAGGATCCGGAGCCAGAGCCGGAGCATGCTGAGGATGATGTGGATGAGATGACAAGGAGGCTGGCGCATGGAGACACACATGACGCCAGGAGTGGAAGCCTGTGGAGCCGGTGGCAGAAACATGTTTGGGCTCTGTTTGAGGACCCTTACTCCTCTAAATATGCAAGGGTGAGTTCATTTTCAAATGTTTTCAGCATTGTTTTGTGTTTCTGTTTAAACTGAATATCCAAAAACTCACTAGGAGTTACCATGGATACATCCTGAGCCAGGAGAAAAAATGATCTAAATTGTCTAGTTGCTGGTTTAGAACAGTCAAAGCTGCATGGGCTTGAGTCTAGTCGTGAATGTGTCTGCCTTTGTCCCCTGAGAGTGAAGCAGAGATTGATGGATCTGCGAGGTTCAGACGGGCTTTTGATGACCTTCAAATTGCCCTCCCAAAGGGTTCCACATCAGAGAGGAGGAGGGCGGGGTAGGGAAGGGGGTTGTCGACCAAAGGGCTCATCTTTCAGAACAATTCACATGCTAATCAACTGTCCAACCCTCCTTCATCTTACATGAGAAGATACGGGACTCTAATTGTTACTCTTCCAGGTCTTTGGAATGATATTTCTAGGACACAGGAATCCCTGGGAAGCCTAGCTCTTTGGTTTTATAGGTTAGATACAAATTAGAAAACCAGATCTTTGGCACTACTAGAATTTCAGTGGCAGACCTCCAGACAGAATGAGGTTACTGGAAGGGACATTTCTGCTCTTTTATGGGCACTTAATGGGCACTTTTCCATGTGGGCACAATGCCTCTGGATGGTGAGGCTGGAAGGACTTTACACCTCTTGTTTTTTTTTTTTGCTCTTTGACTACTGCCCCTACAAAGGTTGCTGTGCTGCCTGCTGGTTGAACAGCTGCAGCAGACCAATTGGTGTAATTACTGATCTGGCTCTGACCAGGAAGTGTAAACTGTACTGACATCTTTTCATTTTTACAGCAAGCATTAGCAAGCACTTTTCAACCAACTCAAACTTTAAGTACATTTCACCTTTTGTGCAGAGGATCTCCTCCAAAGCGGGAAAACTCCTCAGACATGTCCTCCATACAGTGTAACAGTGAGCGAGTCAAAGCACAGATTAAAGACTGACAGCGTTCCACCAAGACAGTCAAGAAGATTAATTAGAACTGAGCCTCAGAGTTAATCACAGCCTCTATTCACAGAGGAAAACCTTTGTCACTGCATATCACTGCAGGCCTGTGGTTTGCCAGCAACATTAAGAATAAGGCAAGAAGGAGTAAACAATCACTGCCTGTTATCCCGACCCCCCCCCCTCCCCCCTCCCCTCCACGGCATCCTGTTCCTAAGTGTCACAAAAACACTTCATTTACTGCAAGAGGCGGCCTGATACGACGTCTGGGATGCTTGCAGAGCCTGTGTGTCAGAAGGCATCTGCGGTAAACATGCTTGTTAGAACTAGGATTTATCATGAGTGCTGACTCTGATGGGGGTGTATATTCTTTAGTGATATTTTAAACTTATGCTGGAATCAGCCACATTATTTGAAGTTAAGTTACCATAGATTAGAATGAGTTACTTAACATTCATAGTTCACAGTTTTGACCGAAGTTCACCATTCAAAAAATGAACTAGTTCACGTTCATTTCTTTTTTAAAGCTGCTCCGGGCTTCTTCTTCAGTAGAGCCCCTTATACGTGCGTCTCTAGTTATTATTCACTCAAAGGTTTTACCCAAATTAAAGACATAAACCACATACTATGAAACATTTTGTAGTTTTATAAATATCATTAAGATAGATTATTTAAAGGACAGGGAGAAAAGGCAAGTGCTCAACGGTAAATCCCAATTCAAACACACCAATAAAGGCAATAAATCATTCTTCACTTTACTGGCTTTTTGCCAAAAACAGGGATTGTTTCAGTTGATTTTGGGGGCCTGGGCTCTTATCTACAATAAAAATGGACTTACTTAATCAACATACATGTGCACAAAACAACTGCATGCATAGGGAGGCGGAGAGAGAGAAGTGAGGGAGAGTCAGAAAGGGAGGCAGAGAGAGGGATATTGTACAAGAATATATTCATTATTTAAGAAAGTTGAACAGGGATCCTGAATATTAGACTCCGGCACATAGTGCTCGGCATTTGTTGGTAACTTGGAGCATGAGCGGCGGGGGGGGGGGGGGGGGGGGGGGGTTCACAGTGTCCAGAGTGAACTGCACTCACGTTCTCATTCATGAGTTGCAAATGACTTCTTCAGTTCACCATCCACCAAAAGTATGAGCTTGTTCAATGAACGCATTCCAGGCACAACAAGAAGGACTTTATGCCTAGGCTGCTGAAACTGCTCTAACCAAAATAAAATCCAACAAAACATTTGATTATTTTCGTTTTAGAAATGAAGTTAATTTAACGGCATTTCTCTAAACTGTTGACTATTAAGGTCACTTCTCCTGACATTTGCGTCAAGTAGAAAAAGTTGAAGAGAAAAATCGCTATCAAATATTTGAATGCTAGATTTAGCAGAAAGCAGCAGTACCTGTAGTTCACTAAGTGGTCTTGGAGACCCCCACACAGGGCAGATCCTTACATTGGTAATGAAGTCACTGCTGTTGATCTGATATTTTTTTGAGGTTGCTCTTTTCAGTATGATGGAATTTCAAGTATTATATTGAAGGATGTCCTTGTTATTTTGTACAGTACATATGGTAGAGGGGGTGGACAAAACAACAATATTACGCAACACAATACCTCAACAGCTCATACTCTGTAGTAATGCCTCAAGAATTGACACAAAATCTCTCCTACACCACACAAAGAAGAGCTGGAGATAGTTGGCTGGAGAAGGGTTCATTAAAAATTGTCAAATGTTAATCTTGTCCAAACTCTGATTGTATGTCAGAACAACAACAGCTTTAAACATACAATCAGACAGTCGACAAAATGACAGAACGAAAAGGATACACACCGGTTGATGAAGATTGAGAATATTTGCAATGAAAACACACTAGCAGAGCCTGGCAAATAGTCTTAAAATCCATTTAACAGTATTTGTTTGTTCTGAATTAGATGATGATGCTCATCTTCATTAAAACTAATGCATGTTCTTTTAACTCAGTATGATTTGTGTGAATGAACAAAGGGGACAGCCTTGCTGAAAGAACAGGAGTCAGTGTGTGTGCTTTAGTCTCTGCTAGCACAGTGTTTCCCTGAAGAATATGAAACAAGCATGGACTGGAAGCAGACATTCATAAGCGGGCAGACATTCATAAGCAGCAGTGATTTCCTCTGCACAATGCAATGAATTGCCAGTGATGAGATGATGTGATGGGGACCTGTTTTCCATCATGGCTGCATGCTTGCCTTAGTGACACACTGAATGGACTTAACTGATTAAGGCTTCGAGTTTCCTTTGCCCAGTGGAGTATATATTAGACCTCCTCATGCCCAGACATGGCTTCCTCCTCCCTGATGCTGTTCAATATTCCTCTCAGCTGCGTAACAGTAGTATGCATTGGTTTGAGAAGCACTACAGAGCATCGCTTACTCTCTTAAAGACATCTTCATGCACGGACAAGCTGCTATTGATCCAACTTTTGTGAATCGTAGGATGATTAAGTAGCTATCTCCTGTTCTCGTCTACACATTAGTCCACCAACCTGTATTTACTTACTTCAGATTCCCTTTAAAGATACAGCTAGATACTCCCATTCAGTCTCTGCAGTTCAGTGTTTGTATATGTGTATAGCAAGTGAAACCTTGGGTTTGCAATCAATACCCAGGAGAGCACAGCGTATCTGTTACATCCATGTTGTATGCATCAGAAATCTCAGAGCCCAAATGTGATGAAATGTGATCATGTAATCAAAACGTTATGTAGACAAATGTACACTTTGGCCGTTGAGAGAAATATATTTTTCTCATAAAAGTCTCGTTAGGCATCTTAACTCGATACAACTCCCAAGGTGTGATCATCTGGACGGACAGTATGACCTTGTGTGTGGTGGAGGCCTGCTGTCGTGGTTGTGCTGAAGGAAAGAGCCTTGGCTAAATTTAGTCATGGGGGTTTTCACTAATGTCCTGTCTCCTGTTGCTGCTTGTGGCTCTTTGTAATTCTGCATGTAGCATACCTTTGAAATGCCATGACCTTGAGATACAGCCGAGGGAAGAGAAGCAAGATTGCCAGCCTTGCATTAATTTGTCCCTTATACAATGCCACTTTTTGAATCAAGAGATGTAGAGGAGAGAGAGAACAGGGGGAAGTGAGAGAGTGAGTCAATGTCACTCTCGCCATCAAACCAGAAGCCACTGTCTCAGATACAAGATTGTATTGCATTGTGTCCTGCTAAGAACTGTCGTTGAACCACGTTGAGTATGATTATCCTGCATGAATCACTGAGCCCTTTTCTCCTCTCTGTCCTTTGCTCTCCTCCACATCTTCTCCCTACCCTTTCTTCTTTTTTCCCCCTGGATCCTCCATGTACTCCCTGCTCAGTGGGTGGCTTTGGCCTCGCTCTTCTTCATTGTGGTGTCAATCACGACTTTCTGTCTGGAGACCCATGAGGCCTTCAACCCTATTATCAACCGCACTGAGCTTGAGTGGGTGGACAATGTCACAATAGAGCACACCTACCAGGAGACTGAGACTGCGGCCTACCTCACTTACATCGAAGGAGTTTGTGTGGTTTGGTTCACTTTTGAATTTCTAATGCGAATAACTTTCTGCCCAAATAAATTTGACTTCATACGGAATGCCCTAAACATCATCGACTTCGTGGCCATACTGCCCTTCTACCTGGAGGTCGGCCTGAGCGGCCTCTCGTCCAAGGCAGCTAAAGATGTACTTGGTTTCCTGAGAGTTGTCCGCTTTGTGCGAATCCTACGTATCTTCAAGCTGACCCGTCACTTTGTAGGTCTGAGGGTGTTGGGCCACACCTTGAGGGCCAGCACCAATGAGTTCCTGCTCCTCATCATCTTCCTCGCTCTCGGTGTCCTAATCTTTGCCACTATGATCTACTACGCTGAACGGATTGGAGCTAACCCGAACGACCCTCGAGCCAGCGATCACACACACTTCAAGAACATCCCCATTGGATTCTGGTGGGCTGTGGTGACCATGACGACCCTAGGCTATGGAGACATGTACCCTCAGACGACTTCCGGCATGCTAGTTGGAGCCCTTTGCGCCTTGGCTGGTGTACTGACCATCGCCATGCCTGTCCCTGTGATTGTCAACAACTTTGGAATGTATTACTCCCTGGCCATGGCGAAACAGAAACTACCAAAGAAAAAAAATAGGCATATCCCTCGGGCACCCCAACCAGGTTCTCCTAACTTCTGTAAGTCCAGCATCAGCTCCCAACCTCAGAGTCCCATTGCCCATGACGACGTTTTTGAGATAAAGTTTCAAGGTAAGAAACAAAAAAGACATAACTTCTGATATATTGATCTCATCATGTACTGCTATTCACTCGTTTTATTTTTTTCAGCTCCCACACTTCAATTAGTTGATGATTCAGGTACGATATTAACATATGTTTCACCCTAAAAACAATCAATATAATATGTGGTGAGAAGCATATTTTTCTGGATAGGAGGTTAGAGGTATTAAGGCAGACTGTGAGTAATCTAAGTATTGATTTTGAAAATCTTAATGCAATGATTCAATCTTCTATCTTAGACAAACTGAGATTTTGTAGTACATTTTTGTTTTTTAAAGATAAGTAAGCAGACCTTGGAGTTACTTAATTTCCTCTGTTGGCAATGACACCAAGATTTACTGACCTTTGATGCAGTTTGTGCTCAGAAAAAAATGGAGCATAGAGTACACAGTAAACCCAAGATAAAAACTATACAGGAAATGTGGTAGTATTGTTTGATTTAATCCCTAGGGGCATTCAAGTAGTACAAAATTAAAAGTGAGGATATATTAAACATTTCAGAAAAAAAAGTTGGAACTGTATGTGAAACCTGATTTGGTGTGTTTTCCCTTTCTTATAAGATTCCAAGCTGAACGGTGAGGCAGCTAATGCAGCTCTTGCCAATGAAGATTGCCCTCACATAGACCAGGCCATATCTCCGGAGGAAATCTTCAGCCCCAGCGAGAGAGAGCGGCCCTGCTTCCTGGTCACGACTGCTGAACGCCCCAACCACACAGGGGGCAGAGTGAGGAGGGGTACGTACAGTAACAGCCAATCACAGGCCCCTGTGAGACACTGACATGCTGTAGACCTTAGACACGATACGCTTTTTTCCCCTCATAGCTGAGTGCTACACCTCAGTTTTTCAAAGGCACACACAAAATCACAACTGCAAACCTCTTTTTACAACCTTCACACACTCTCACAACAACAACTGCTTCTCCTCAATCATCCCTTTCGGGGGAATGTACATAGTTCAAGTCACAATAGCATCTGTTCAGGCCAAGCACAATCTCCATAAATGTCAAAATTTGTCCACATCTACATTATATATTTTTTAATACCATGCATAATGTAATATCAATCTCTATATACGAGTAAGAAAGCTATTTTTGAGATTTATATGATCTAGAATGTGTTGTCTTATATGCCTAAGAAGGTGTTTTATGTGCTATGAGTGTACCATGTATGTATTTGTGTTTTAATGATTAATACCACGAAGGATCCTGACTTATGAGAACACTGCTCTTGACCATAACGGTGCATGAAGTGTCTTGCTGATGGGTGCTATCAGTATGGTGAAGGAGCACAACACAGATGGAGGAAGGCTAATGTTAGATATTAAACTAATTTACTGATTTGTAACTTTAATACCAGGGTTAACCCCCTTTTTTCTACGAACAATAAGCTACCAAACATTCCTCTAATTCTCTAGCTGCATGTGCTGCCAGCACATTACCAGAATCAAATCTTACCTGTAGCTGAGAAAACATTCACTGCCTGAGAGTGCCTACCTTTGCAAGTCTTTTGTAGTGTTAAACTCCAAACCATTCCAGTACCACCCGGTGCATGCTGTTGTACTCCTGATGCACTCAATGCATGGAGAATAATAATCTGTCTTAAGCCTGTGTTGACCTGTTTCTTTGGAGACAAAAACAAGAAAGCAACAGGTGTAGTATAACCAGAGAGGAACACCAAAACAGTGTGTCATGGATTCAGTGCTGCAGTGTACTCAGAACGTTCTCTGTTTTTCAACTGAAGGTTATGAAAAGCCTTGGAGCCTTAACAGCATGTCTGGCATGAGCGGGGATGCCTCTGGAGTGTCCTCAGTGTCCGCCCTGCCCTGCAGCCCACCCTGTCTAATGCAGCACTCACATTCTCCCATCCCATCCATTATGTAGCATGGTTGTGTAGCAGACACAATGCCATTGGAAGGCCAGTCAACACTCCTCCTTCTTATCTTTCCTGTCAGATATTTTGCTTTTACACTTGCCTTCGCTCCTGCTTTTATCATTTTTATTTCTTTATTTTTGCTGGAAAACTGTATCTTAACTGTGTAAATACTCAAGCCTTCCCAAGTCTTCTCCTTGGGTGTGTCATCATTTCCTAGACTAGAGAACATTGGCACATGCCACTCTGCATGGGTCACCTCAGTTGCATACAAAGCACTGTTCTACTTCTACCATATAGGCAAACCCCCCTCTTTTCCTATGTTTACATCATTGCCTGTTGCTCTGTTGCTTTTGATCTCGCATATTCTTCTGCCACTAACTTTTTTTATCTCATCTGCTTTTTACAATTTTGTGAAATAAATTTTCATAAGATGTAACCCCTGCGAACAATGTGCTGGACATTCCCGATACATGGCTTTGAAACATATCCAAAGGTATCATTGCCAGCTGTTAAGGGAACTCCTACTAAGTGCTTTCTACGTTGCAAAGTAGAGACGTTATTATTCTGAAAGTTCAATCAGGCCAGACTCAATGATATCCGAGTGGCCAGCCGCCCCCCCCCCCCAAAAAAAGAGAAGCAAAATAATAAAATGATGTTCTTGATATGTCAAAAGAACTCAAACTGTTTGTTCATTTGCATGAAGTGCATGAGAAATTATGTTCTACAAGAAGCTAACTGTAACGCAGTAACTGTAAGAAAAGAGAAAAACCTTTCAAAAGCTTTCTAAGCTTTGTCATGTTTTATGCATTTTGAGACAGCTTTACAAGAGACTCAGTCAAAGCAGAGATTTTTATGTAGCTGCCATTCTTTGCCTTTCCCCAAAATTCCTATATTTATTTTCTTGTATTTATTTGACTGGGGCCTCCAACTAAAATAGCGTGATTAAACTTGAACAATTTGTCATAAAGCCAACTAATGATGTTATGGGCATAAAAAAGTTTTGTACAAATATATTTACAAGTAGTTATGAGTTTTTAAAAAGTATCATTAGTCTGCAGCAATTTATGCTGCTATGATGCCTAAACAAAGGCCATAATTATAAAACAACGGTGCCTTCTTACATGGCAAGGCGAAGTTTAAGGCAGAACTAAATTGACATCATTTTAAAGTGCTCCTAGCGTAGCATCTGCACACTTTATATCATGCTCATAACAGTGTGACGAAAGCTTTATTTTATAAGGTGCACCTTATGTAATTTTTGCACCACTCTTGTAACCTTAATCGCAGTAAAATGGCCTTTTGATTCTTATTGTTGCACCGTCCAACACATATATTTAACCTATAGGATTATACATACTGGATACAAACCAGCTAAAAACTGACTACAGTCCCCACCTCCAGAAAAAACTACAATTAAGCACAAAATACTACGAGAGGGGAGCAGGCAACTATAGATCCACAGTAATGTAAGCTACAGTCAGCCAGAGATGTCATGATGACTCCTGCTGTATGAATGTCTTTTATTTAAAAAAAACAAAAAAACATCAATACTGTTACTGGTACATGTATTGATACTGTCCCAGTAATTATGCACAATTCTTTCAGGGCACTTTAACAAATTATATGTTGACCAATTAGGAAATGTTGACTTCAAGAAGAAGGTACAAGTAAAGCAAGTCATCCAAGTTTTATTTCTATTTTGAATGAGCAGTTTCACTTTTTTCGAGTTATGTCTCTGTGGTAACTAATGGACGTTATATATTTGAAGAAAAAAAAAATTGTGAAAATTTGATGTGAACAGATGCAGGTGAATTATATGGTCATGCAATTCAATGGGAAGAAAAAAAAAAATTAACACAACACAGTGTGGGATGTGGGTCTACTTGGGGAAAGGTAAATGCATGTATTTTACATTTATGCAACAGAAAAGTATTCAAATAAAATATGTAAAAATAAGTCCTTGCATGAAATAAATTTTATACACAATAAGCATATAGACTCCGTTTTTATTCTACTGCACATGCATACATACAACTTCCTTTTCCCACTAGCTTACAGCTAGTGCTTCCAACTGCTGTTTGACCCACTGTGCTCAGGTCAAAGAGAGCATTAAAAAAAACAAGGTGACTGTGAGAGCATGACGCCGAGTATACAAACGCATGACAATGACAAACTACTGTACATCAACCTGTAAAACAGCATGATTGGGCATGTTTATTGACCGACTAAGAGTCCAACCTCAGCACACAGACAGTACATCGTTGTCTGATGCCTTGGCTAAGCATGGGACTTACATGGTAAACCCGTGGTTTACCATGAGGAACTAACGGAGCACATTTTCTCAACCCTCCAAGCTAGTGTCATTTCCCACCTTTACCTGCACCTCAGCGGTGTACATCATCAACATCACTTTCCGCCATTATACATAATTTGTGTAATAATTTATTTTTGTTACTGTTTTTTTTATATGTTTTTAGAGACCCAGCGACAGCACCGGAGCAGACAACCAACAGAGTCAGTTTGTGTTATGAACCATGGTGTACCTACCACTATGTGTATGACCCATAAAGACCCATCACCCACCTGATAGTGTTATAGCATTGTTGTGTGTATTACTTAGTATTTTTAAATTGGGTGTGACAGTGACAACCTGTGCATCACAAACTCAGCATAGTTGTAGCACTGAGGAAGTTTTGTTGTCAAGCCTTATGTAGCTCAGTTTCTGTGACTGGTTACTGTGTTGTAATTTTTGTGTGCCTATTTTTGTTGTGTGCCAGTGCTGTATATCTGCTTCTTTGTGTGCTGAAGTTGTGTGTTCCAATGTTTTTTGAGCGATCATCAAATATTTGTGTGCTTTCTTCTGTTTCAAGAAAAAAAAAAAAATGTTGCTCCGATCTTTATCACCAACCCTACACCCCACTACTCAAGCAAAAACCTGTCACTTGTCACGTCAGCCAGACTAAAGAGTTGAAAACAAATTGTTAACTTTGGACTGTCATGGTCACATCTTTGTAGACTTTTGCACTGTTTTGCACCAGACAATTTTTTAACATTTCTTTGGTATGTTTTCTGGCATCCAAGAGATAACATCCACAAAAAAAGAATAAGGTCATACTCAAACACCACACTTTCCATGTACTATTGAGGCATTAAAAAATGTGAACTTCTAGAAATTGGTGAATATTTTAAATGCAAATACTAATTAAGTTTATGCACAACTTAATAACAGATAGTGAACTCTAATGAATGTTTACATATCCTTAAATGTAGCTACACTTTGATTACATTATCGTCTTATGCAGAAAATATGTAAACTCGTCGTATTTACATTTTAATTGACAATCATGAAAAATTGGATTATTGTTCTTTTACTGCACACAGGCAAATGTATTAGTCTGTAATACTTACCAGTGCTAAATCATTACACTCACTTTACTGGACAAGTGCCTCTTTTATGCAAATTTGTTTTTTCTTTGTGAATAAATGTTTATTTATTTCAAATTAGTCATCAGCTGTTGAAAACAAGTTATCAGACAAAAAGGCCCACCACATGCAGCAGTTTCTACAGAAAAGCAAGGGTCATACCTACTATCAAATCAGAGCCATTGAGTTCAAATTACAACTTCATTGTTTGTGTAGAAAAGTTAGTAACAAGGGACCAACTTCTTACCAAACAAGTGCAAACACACTGCCAACAGCCGACTAAGATCAGTGTGCAGTCAGGAACAGCAGCTCGGAATCTGCCAAAAGAGCGGAGCACAGATGTTGGGACAGTGTGCTGCTCAATGTCAGCCACACCTATACACGCATAGACACACACACACAAACATATATACAAAAAGCTATTATCAATGAATGACTCAATAACACAACAAAGAGGCAACTAATGTAGCCGTTTAGTGAGACTTCAGAGTGTGTGTTTTGAACACTGTATTTTGTGGTTAGTTATCTCAATAAGGTGTTCAGTGATCGTTTTGATTGGTTTGTTGTGTCTTTTTTGACAAATACAGTTCAGGCTTGTACAATAAATAGTGATAAATAAAAAAACACAGAATTTATCTTTTTTCAGTGAGTGTTGATTTTTTTTAATCTAATCCAGGTAAAAGCACTTTTAATTTAAATTCCATTAATGCATCATTTCAGAGATGTGAATGTTTTTTTTTTTTATATTGAATTGCATAATAAAATCAATAAAATCCCCAAAAATATATAGAATTAAATTGCAGAACTATAATCCATTAGCCATTCTATTTCCTGCCATTACCCTTGAGGAGCAATGGCTTCAGACCTACAGTCGATCCCCGTTTGCTGCACTGCGGGCGCCCACAGCTCATAAATATGCAAGCCGGGTCAAACATGGCTGACCGAACTTCCCCCAAGAGGGATTAAGGTGTACAGTGTGAAAGTGTTGCAAATAGGACAAACAGAAGATCAAAAGAGTCTGACACAGACCGACAAGGACACAAAATATTGATGGACAGTTTCCAGAAAAGTGAAAAGCATGTTAGTGGTAAATCACAAGATGGCCGATGTATTTTCAGTATGAAGTGCAGAGATTGACTGCCTCCTGACACTCAAGATCACAGCAATAAAACAGCTGACATGGGGAAGATGGAGCTATAGCACCAGACTAGCCTATCCTTCACATGGTCCATAACAGCCTCACTCAGGAGGACAAACATGGCAGGTGGCCGAGGAGCCATAAGCATTGGCCATGTCCTGCAAAGCTATTGTCCCTCGTCATGTCCATCAAAGTGATGGGCTGGCCAGAAAAATGATGGCATCTGTCCTCATTTGACATAACTCAGCCTGTGTCCAAGCACAAAGCAACATTTATGACAACTGCAATTTGAGTCGGACGTTTCAAAGAGCTCAGGTGGCCTCTTAGAAGATGGAAAATGCTGTAATTTTAAAGGCACTCAAAGTAACTGTATGCAGGCTGAGCCACTGATTTTTAAAACTAAATCAAGTAGAATTATGTACACTCAAAAATGCATTCTGTTTTTCTTTTCTCCAAGTGCAACATGCTGAATATATTATCCTGTTTCAATGTCTCTGAAGTGGAATCATTGCAGAGTTTTGTCTTGAGTCAGTCATCTCAGCACACACTGCCATAGAGTGTCCAGCTCCACAGCCAATGAGAAGAGGTTTGAGCCCAGAAACGAGCTGTGGCTGAAGGACGTCGGTCTGTGAACCGTCTCCGCACATCCCATGTTCGTTCCAGCCCCAGGAGAGGAGACTCCCCCCTGAAAAGGAGAGGGGTTGGGGGGGTCAGTGGAGCTGACAGCAGAGAGTCCGGGCAGCAGCATCGTACCATATATGCTAAAATTAGAAGTCTGGAGGAAAAAAAAAGTCTGACGCCAAAAATCAAAAGGCATGCAATTACACACACACACACACACACACACACACACACACACGCACACGCACACGCGCACACACACACAGACATTCAGACAGCCTCTCCTTTTCCCCACACTGACACTGAGCCAATAATAATAAAGACTCCCTGCTCTTCACAGCTGGTGAGGTGTTGGTGGGTGTGGTCAGGTCTGCATCACAGAGTAGACACGTGCCATGGCAACACAGTTACCTAATAGGCTCCATTGCCATGGCAACAGAAGCGAGCTTGCTTTCTCAAGGGTAACACATCTTCAAGCTTTCCCCGTTCTGCAGTTGTGTGTGTGTGTGTGTCTCTTTCATGACATTGTTTCGTCTATTTCACATTGTGGGGCTTCTTCTGTCTTTGTGCGTTTTCTGGTTCGTCTCAGTGGCAACAAAAGATGTGGTTCTGCCAAGTGACACATATGCTTTGCCCGTTAACGACCAAGATATCACGCCAGCAGCTTATGTCAGTATAGGATTCAGCCAGATATTAGCTTATGCACTGAAACACACACATGTAGCCCTATCTTTAGAATACTGGATGTTTTCATGGCTCCATCTTTGCTTAAGGTTAATCAGTAAACATCCTGGTTACATCATGTAATGAGTTCAATCGTTTTGTTCTTTGGGTAAAAAAGCCTTATTTTGGTGCTGTGCCTAATTCATGGATTTACTGGCTAGAGTAAAGCACATCCGTGTTTCCATGGCAACAAAGTGCCTGCACAATATTTTGCACAAAAAAAAAAGGGCTAAAAATCAAGAAACTCAAACCAAAAGCCATTTCCTTGTAAACACTGCAGTGATGTTAAATACAGTAGAGCAGGGGCCCTTTATTTAGCATGACTTACATCACACTATGAATTAAAACATCATATTAACTAAAGTGTTTATCCTCATACATCCTTGTTAAGTTCGTAATGTTCACATTAACAAAAATCTTTCCTCAGATTGGATGAGCTGTGCCCACAGCGTCTTTGGCCCCACCTTGACCACCGATGATGAATTTCACACTTGAGAACTCCTCAGGTGCAAATGGGCAAAAGCTGAGCAGGCAACAGATATCATGAGCAGCAGCATGCAATGCTCTCCGTTCCTTTCTGCCTGACCTACTTCAGCACCAGAAATAGCAGCACTCAGGTCTCTGCTTCCAATCCTGTTTTGCTATTTCATTGCTCCTGCCACTGTGCTTGAGACAGGAGGAGGAAAAGAGGAGAGCTTGGCAAAGAAGAGAGATGGGCCAGGTTCAACTGAGCTCTCCCTTAACTGATTCCGCTTTCTCATCACTTAACTGAACTTCTGAAAGCACAGAGCGGTGCTTTTTGAGAACTGTCATTATGACGGACAGCCTGCGTTAACATTTTCCTAATTAAAATGGCAGACCCAGTTAACTATGAATTGGTTCCAACATCAAAAGTGGAAAGCCATTTGCTTGTCAAAATACCAGTGATTTCAAGCGTTTCCTCTCTAATGGAGCCGCTTTGCTCGTGTTTCAATGTTCATGTGCGTATTTGTTCTCAAGCTGATGTGAAAACTGGGCCAGTGTTCAAAATTTAATGCAACGGATTTTACTTCCAAAAAAAGGGCAGTCACTAAGGGAGAGTAGGAGACTTTTAAATAGCCTGAAAGAAATAAAAGCAAATTTAAAATCTTTGTTCATCTGACAAGGGAGTAAGAAACACGCAACTGTTTCTGTTTTGTTTTGTTTGTCATTCTTTAAAGGATGTGACTGCGATGTCTGTTTTTTTTCTTATGTGCAAAAAGGGAGACTGCTCTTCAAACAATCTGCAACTGGAAAACTGTTTAATTCAGCTCTTTTACAGGCTTGTTTAAGTAATTGCCTCTGTCAGTGATACCCATCTATCTATGCTATAATTACTTCCTGATGCAAAGGCCATAGAGCAATGAGCTGACCTCAGAAATCCTCTGCAGCATTACCAGAAGGATTAATATTTCACAGTGATGTTTAACTGTTATGTTTTAGACTGTTCCTTACCAACTCTGTAGTACAGGGAGGAGGATCACTTGAAATAGTCTAGCCTCTGTGTATTCCGTTCTAGTGCTACGGTCATGTTAGGCCAAATGTGGGGTCTCCTGTTTTAGCTGCTTGCACGTACTTAAACTTATAAGTTCAAACTATTTCAGCTTCATTTCTCAGAAAACTCTTTTCTTTGTTGTGAATTTCCAGTGCATTTGTGTTCAATCTTGTACAAAACTGACCTCGTACCTTTTTTTTTTTCCTGCATCAGTACATGTTCTGATATTAAAATTATAAATAGCTTTTTGAGCATGACAAGAAAAGCGTTAGAAAATATAAGAAGGTACGTACCAACAATGGCGAGGTTGTGTTCTGATCCACAGGCAATCTGTAGAGACAAAGATTTCAAAGTGTTCAAAATGCATGTTTAGAGCAGACAGCCAATTCTAAGACTGTGATAACCTAAATTGTTATGCCGACATAGATACTGAAATATTATGTGAACCAAAGCTGATCTGAAAGTGAAATAAAATGCCATGTCTCAAGGTGTAGTCTTTTAACTTTTATTCAAAACTATGTGCACCAAAAGCAAATATCATGATCAATAATCAGTTCTGTAAATACATTAGACACGGTTAAACCCCGTGCATCATCAGAGAGCCGAGCAGAGTTAACAGTAAAGTGTTCCTAAAAGGTAAAGCACACCGCTGGGCTGTCTAGAACGGTTAATGCTACTGTCGCAGGAGTGCCTGCCTTTGCTGACTCAAACCCTTTTACAAATTAATGGCCTTTTTTTTTTTTTTTTTTTTGCGGCCCTCTTATGCCTTATCCAGGAGCTGTGGGGGCACATTTAAGTTCTGATCCTGAAATCTACAAACTCTTCAAGAAGTAACGAATCAGCATTCTTGATAACGCATACAGCTGTGGCAAGCCACGAACAGAAACACGCCGACCTGACAGGTTACAATTTGTTACTCCGGTAATGTTCATTGGCCTCATGAAAGTGTGACAGTTCATTTCATATAGCCTCTGTGGGTGTAAAAGTACAGGGCTGGGAGATTCATAGTCCACTTGGCTAATCCATCCTGCATTTAGCTTTACACACATATAGCGACTGTGGCTTGACATACGCCCGCTCTGCTACAATGATCTGTGCTCAGTAGAAGAGGGATCTTGCCCTTGCCCGTCCCTGACATCTACTTTATTGGCAACGATCCCCAGCCATTTAGACTCCAGGTTAACTGCTGCTATCCCGTGATGCTCACACATAATTGCCCTTATGGGAGAAGAGACCCTCGTCTTCACTGGATGTAAGTAGTCCTCTGGGAGTGTCTGTGTGTCTCTGTGTGTGTGTGTGTGTGTGCTCTAGATTTAAGGTTTAGTCATTCTAATCTTTCACAACCTGCTTTTAGTCGGACTGGCTCTCAATCAGGGCATTCTGTCTCACCTCATACAAAACAACCCTCAGCTGCCTGTTTTATTTGTATTTATCTGCTGCCTCCTGCTGGACTCACAGACATTTCCTACTAAAACACAATGACAACATCAATTACAGTAAGGATCACTTCAGTAACACCCAAAGCACCCATTTTCTTTTCCCATTTTAAACGTATTACCTGCGCCGCTCCATGGAGTGCTTTAACCTCTGTGGGCAGGAAAGCCTTCTTGTTTGGACCTCCAGCTGAAGGACCCACTGACTCCTGCTCAGGGTTCTGAATGGATGATGTTTTGTTTTGGCCAAGCTGTCCATAATCTCCTCTGCCCCATGTGAACACTCTCCCAGTCTCTGTAAAATGGCAGATGATTTGTTAATATTAAGTCATTGCAGGTCAAACACAATACTGTATTCATTACTCTTTTTTTTTTACCTGTTTGAGCAACTATATGGGTCCAGCCACTCCACACATGGACAACTTTTTCTCCACCCAGAAGTGAGCGCTTCATGAGAGAGGGAGAGGACAGGAAAGGCTCTGTGCTGGCCAGCTGGCCATGTTTGTTGCTTCCCCAAAGAAAAACATCACCGTCTCCTGCACACACAACAGATGACACATCACTTGTCTTCCAGCCGAGGCAGTGACAGAAAAACGTGGAGAGGTAGTCGAGAGAAGCTTCCCCACATATTAAAAGGACAGAAGAGGGACCGGTTTTATAATGTTTGAACATGAAGAAGAAGACAACTCGGGCCTGGTGTTGACAAAACAATTTGTAAATCCAAATTATGACCTTCCAGAGCAAACAAAACCTGAGCTTGCAGATTTATTTGGTTGCCAGGCAACAACAACTCACTGGCACAACCTGAAAGAGTAAACACACCTTGAGTGAGTGAATAGTAAACACACCTTGAATGAGTGAATAGAAGCACAGTGGTGTTTTGAGGTTATTATGTATGCCCTGTTAGTACTGTGACCCAGTGTTTGAAGTCCCATGTTTTGCTTGAAAGTTAGTTAATCTCAATATGAGAGAAAAAGATTAAGTGGCATATAGCCGGTGGAGTGAGCAGACACCTAAACCTGAACTAATTGTTAAGGATAAGGTTCCAGCCTTGTTTGCTTTGACTGACAATCTTAACCAGTCTGACAGCTATTTCACATTGATCATGGTGAAAATATCTCACTGGAATTTGTACCTATAATGCAAAATCTATGTTTCCTTTTACCTTCTGCTAAATAAAGTGGATCTGCTACTTGTAATCGCCTGTGTTAAAGAAGCCCCTTTTCTAACCTTTTCAAACAGTCCCGTGGTCTAAATGAAACATCTGTGCTGTTCTTTGGTCAAAATTTAACATGAATCAAGCACCAGAGGAGGTTTGTGACCCTGTATAAACCAGCTCTCTCAGAACGCTCTGTTTTGGTGTGTGTGTCTCTTTAAATGCAATGTGGGTCAGTAGACACTCAACTTACCCAAATATATGTTCAAAAACACTGTAAGTGTATTTTCATAAAATGTCCCCTTTAACAACATTTTTCATATTTAATCTAAATGAACCAAATCCAACATGAACGCAGCATCATGATTGTCATACCTGTGAGGCACACACAATGCACTGACCCTGCTGACACCATGTGTGTCTTCTGATCCAGACCTGCAACACAGGCACACATATCTGGTCAGTATCAATCATGTATGCCCTCAAAGCTTTGTGCTCTGTAACTATATCAATTCAGTGCTGAGTTACACTAACCTGGTACTACAGAGGGCACTGTGGAGTTAAGGTGTGATGGGACAGGATGTGGACTCAGGGCTCTCTTAGCGTGACTGCAAAGACCACGCCCCCACTGGTATACACAGCCTGAGTCTAAAAGCAGAACAGAAAATTAGTATTATTGGATTAAGAGCTGAATGAAAACACAAAGCTTTTGTTGCAAACTCACCAGAAGCAGCCAATGAATGTCTGAGTCCTGCTGCTACACTCACCACTGACTCCTTCAGACTCTGAGAAAACACAGAACAAGTTATGGCTGCTTCAAAGAAAGTGACATGAAGTTGGATTGTGGCAGCTTTGACCAGTAGGGATTGATTAATTAAATAAAACCATATTAAAGAAGCTATCTTGTGTTTATTTCAGTAAGTAAAATACATGCCTCTCGTTTGCTCACCTCAACAACCAGAGGTTCTGAAGAATGTTTGACTGTCTCGCCGACACCCAGTTGTCCGAATGCATTGGAGCCACATGCAAACACTTGACCACAATCTGTAAGTGACACAATTTAAAGACATTAAAGAAAATAACACTGAAATATGTAGACGATTGAAAGGTAGTTCAAGCCTTCCTCCTTCATTTACATATACAATACAATACCAGGTTCTGTGTAACACCATTAATCAAAGCCAGCAAGATTACAGAATAAAAGAGGGTGGGTCCTATAGGAAAAATACTCTGCATAAGATGCCTCCAGCTGTTGCCGAATTTGGGACAACCCTAACCATCTAGTTTGTGAGTCTAATGCTGCATTCATGTTTGATGTAAGGCTGATATTTAATCATGTAATCACAAGGAAGCAGTTGTTTTTACAGTCAACTCAAACAATGGTTTAGACTGCAGAGAATGAGAGCCCTAAATTTAGAGAATATGAGTTTCATTAAAGTTGTTCCGATTCCCTGTACTGCCTAAAAATGGTATCGGGTGTGGACTGAGCCTGTCAATGCAGCGACTCAATACCATAACCATTAAGCCCCCTGAAACTGTTTTCAGGTTAATTACTTTGACCATAACAAACAACAACAGTGTGGTAGAAGAGAGTGTGACGTAACAGGTTTTCCCCTGTTCGATGAAAAAACATATTCCTACCCAGTGTCATCCTGTCACTTAAACCTACTGAAAAAAAAGAGCACAACAGCACAGTGTTAAAAAGTGTTTACCAGTGAGGAGAAGAGTAAAATCCCAACCACAGGCTACTTTTGTGATCCTCTGGCTCAGGCTGCAGCACAGCTGAAAAGTGAGGATGTCTACACAGTGTCCAAGTCCCAGCTGTCCTCTGTGATTCTGTCCGCACACAAACACCTCGGCATTCTCTGTACGCCACAAAACACACAGCAAACAGTTTATTGCTGATATGCAGAATAAATCAATGTTTTCAACACTGACACTACTAAACATTTGATTAAACAGTTGCATGAAGCTCGAGAGATGAGAAAGCCTTGCCTAGATGCTGTGTGCAATAATAACATGGTTCAAAGTTCATTGTTTTTATCTGGATCGTGCAGGTTTCTATTTGCCTTCTACTATTTCCTACAGTTTAAAATACAAACTGAGTCTTACCTGTTTTAAGTAAAAATCCATTCATGTGTATATTTTGGCTGTATATGTATGTTTTACAGAAATGCACATTTGTTGCTTCTTGTATATGTTAGTGTGTGTCTTACTGTGGTGTCTTATACCAGTACGTCCTTGACACTAAACTTCACCCCCATAAAACACTACCCACACGACCTGCTTCATTATTATCATTGTATCATTATTATTTAGCATCAATATATATATATATATATATATATATATATATATATACACACATATAAACTGTACATTGTATATACTTTTATTATATTATACTAGTCTATATTATATAACATTTCATTATATTACACTATATTGTTCATATTGCACTATATTATATTATATTATACTACATTATATTATATAACTGCACTCTGCATTACTGTGGCACAACACTGCCTCTCTTCTCTGCTGTTTACATTACGTGCTGCTATTTATCATACCATCATCACTTTAATCACTTGTCACTTTATCTTGTCATTCTCTGCAAATACTGTCTCAATTCCTCCCCAGTTAACTTCATCATTCATTTTGTACTTGTATATACCCCCCTGTTTTTATTTTTATTTATCTTATCTATTCTGTTTAATGTGTATTTTTGAGCTTGCTTGTCTGTGCTGCTGTAACGCCCGAATTTCCCCCTCTGGGAATCAATAAAGTATTATCCTTTCCTAATGTGGTCTTAACTGAATTAAGTCAATATAATTAACAATAAGCCTTTGCAGCCACAAGGGGGCGCCACATCTCTTATCAAGATCTTTCTAGTTTGCTCACACTGCTGATCTGAACCATGATCTGAACACATCTTCTCCGGCAGACGGACACCTTGTACACGAAATGTCAGATGAAATGTGCAGTTTTGAGTACCAGCAGCTTCTTACCGGTGATAACCACGGAGTGACCTCCGCCGCCGCTAACAGCCCGGACAGCCCGGACAGCCGTGTTTTGAAGAGGAGTGATGTCTGCGAGCCGGGGGGCTGACTGGTCCTCCACATGTCCCTGTCCCAGCTGCCCGTAGCTGTTTGCTCCCTTAAAAAAAACCAAAAGAAAAACACGATAACAACCACTAACATTGTCCAGAACCAACGTGACCATGTTAAGTAAGTCGTTACCTGTTGAACAAATCATAACGACCGTTTGTGTTCGCTGCGCTTGAAGCTTTTTATTGCAGGAGTTTCGAAGCTAACGTTAGCAAAAGTGCTTCGTTAACGTCCCGCAACTTGCTGTCACTCTGCCCATGGTTAGTTTTAGAGACCCATTATATTCCCCCCGGTCGTACATATACGAATCAACCACTTAAACTCTAAAAAAATATATACTAAACTTACCCAGGAGTGTAAACAAAACTCCGTCCGCGGACTCGTTTCCATGGAGTACTCTAGCAGCTTTACTTGCGACACTGTCGTAAAAAAAAACGTTTTTGACGTAGTTGCCATTGCATATGTAGTTTTTTTTTTCATTACGTTGCACTCACTCTTCTGCTATCTGTTTTTTTTTTTTCGTAGTAGGTAACGTCTTGAGCTGGGCGTAAACACTTAATTATCACAAAAAGGACCCTATATTTCCCACAAATACACTTTACAAACACTTAAAATCATTCTCCAATCTAGTGTTCAAGAAGTCAAGTCCAAAATGTTTATTAATGGTCAGATTTATGTTTTAAGTAGCCTACAGGCAAGCACTTGTTCATGTTAGTTGTAACTGATTATGTACCTTTTTTTTTCTTTTTTTTAATGTATGCTATTATCTCTAACTTCCCAACCTGGACATAACTCTACTAATCTCTTTCAGGGATCCTTGTGTCTCCATTGTGTTCCTCAGTGATAGTCATCAGCATCTTCTTATGCATTCACCATCATCACAAAGCCATCAAAAAGTCACAAGTTAACAAGGTAACATGCCTTTTGACACACTTGTGTAGACACAATAACATTTTATTTGTTTAATAGTTTGAGACATAGCCTACACATAATGTCTATATTTCTTTACAGTAGAAAAATAATGTTTTGATATCAGGAGTACTACAGTTAGATGTAGATAATCAGAATCATCACTTTAAAACAAAATCGTTTCAGGTACATGGGCCATATCTGTCATAGTCAGCCGTCAAAACATTCTTATAACACTCGTTTTCATTTGTATATTTCCCTCAACAGCACACAAAAAGGAATGTGATACATACACCGAAGGAATAAAAACGATACAGATCATACATATCACTGAAGTGAGGAAGATTAAATGTGAAGAATAATAAAGTGAAATACAAAAAAAGAAAATCACATGATAATATACAACAGCAGAGTTAACAATAAAATGATGAAGCCACATCTGTGCTTGTTACAGCTGGAAAGGATCTTAGAGGATTATAAAGTAAGGACATTGACTGTTTGCCGTACAGAAACCAAAAGAGACAAGTACAACTGAAGCTCAACAGTGAGTCAGATAAAGCAGCTCTTTGGGTTTGTGCAGTTTACTCATTTCATTGTCTAAACATACCTAATGTGCCCTCTGTATATTTTATAAGACAAATACCATGCAGTGGAAAAAACAGCGTTTAACCAAAAGCAGTGCACATTCATTGAACTGACAAAGGGCAATAAACAGGCAGTATCTATACAGCGGTGCCTTGGGGTGAATGACAAGCGTTGACAAAGTGGGCAGTCAGACGCCCTGCTGCTTGTTCAGCCGGATGAGGGCGTCGCCGACTATGTCCAGCTCATGTCGAAGCTCCTCCACTACGCTGTTGATGCTTGGAGTGTCTTTTAGCACGTCCACACTCTGGGTGTACGGGTTGTATCTGACTGTGAAGGGACGCTTGATTGTCTTGGCAAACTCCCTAAAGTAAACAAAATATTTTGTAGATATTTATCATGGTAAATTAAAAAAAAAACAATCTAGTTTGTGAATAATTTCCATCTATATTCTTAATTATCTTATTTGAATAAGTTTACCAAGCATCCATGCTCACCTCATCTTGACTTTGGCTTCCTCAAAGCTGTCTGACACAAAGTAGACCTCCTGAAAAGTTGTGATGATGCATTCTTGTTTGGATGTAACTTTGGGGTCGAAAGGCATTATCCTTGCATTGCCAGAAAGTGCATGCTGTAAGAAAGAAACACAGGAAATATGTTGCAGCCATTGTATATAACACTGGCACACATTTGGGTCTTTTAATTGAATGCAAACAATCTTAAAGCTGCTGTGAGGAACTTTTAGTTTGTGTTCATTTTGGCGCCCCCTGTTGACAAAGTGGTACCTTAATCTCTTTACTAATCTTGTCCTGTGCATGTGTTAGTCGTGTTTTCAGACAAAAAAATCTCATCCCGCTTTCGTTTAACTGTCAAACCTATTACTTACTGTGAATCTTTTATGCAGAAAATGTAAACAAAGAAATTCAACAAAGAAAAGACGTCTATCTGGTGGCAGCAGTTTAAAATATCTAAATAACTTTATATTTGAAAAAATATATGAATATTCTGCTGCACACGGAAAATGACTTTACTGTCACTTATAGTAAGCGAACAACATTTGACAATAGCTTCCCCAGGTTAGCCCAGCAGCAAGGTACAGTTAGGCAAAATGCGTTGTTCGCCCACAATAAAGAGAAAGTAAAGTCATTTTCAGTGTGCGATTATTATTTTTTTTAATCATATGTTCCTACAACCGGACAGAACCTGAGAATGTAGGTTGGCTGTGCACTGGGTAGCCTAGCCTGTTGGTCGTTAAAATAACTTCATTAAAATAAAAAGTCTTACTCCTTGTTGATGGTTGTTTGCTTGGTTTTAGTTAATTTAGAGAAAACAGTTTCAATTTCAATCTGCTTCACAACTAGATGAAAACTCTTCACAGGAGTTTTAAAAGGAGTTGTGTGGTTTAAAATGTGAAGACATCATTAGTGACTTTTCTATATTCTTAAATCGTTTATTTAATTGATTTGCCAGTGGGTTTATATGTGTATATATATATATATATATATATATTGCTCTTAAAGCAGTTTTTATTGTATTAAAGATGAGCTGATACATGTACTTGATTAAAGATGAGGATTGAGTCTGTGTTGTACACTCTGTACATGCCTTTATTAAAATGTTTACCTTAAGCTCACTAATAGATGACAGCAGTCCTGCTCCGTATGCTCGCAGCTGCCCTTCTTGTTTGCATAGGCCAAACTCCACCGTAAAGAAATAACACTGTGACAAAGGAAACAGAAACATGAATATATATTTTTTTTTGCATTGAGAAAACCTTCATTGATATTGATCTAATCAAATGTGCTTGTATAACTGTCACTCACTGTGGCCAGTTTCTGAACTGAGTCATCTGAGGCCCCGAGTGAAGCGAGCCCGATCTCCTGAGAGAACTGGGCAAAGCTGGGCTCAGCTAGAAGTGGGACGTGACCCAGAAGTTCATGGCACGTGTCCCTTGATAAAGAAAGATAAAAGAATTTTAGGACCAATAGCTCAGGATAAACACGGACAATGCCTTTTTTGAATATGCTTGAGTGTATTACTCACGGCTCTGGGGTGTATAATGGGTCGGAGCTGTGCCGCACATACTGAGTACAGTGGAAAACACGGAAGGCCAAACCAGCAAGGAAGTCACGCGGGGACAGATAACCTGCCACAGGCCTGATGGTAAACCCAGTGCGCTCTGAGAAGATTTGAAAAGACAGATGAGTAAAAACATTTACATTTTCATGTTTTTATTTGAAGCAAAACAAAATGTTTAATTGAAATGAAAAACCGACCTCTGAGAAAGCGTGAGACATCTTCCAGCTGAGGAATGTTGTCCTCCCGAAATTCACAGTATTTGGACAGCAGAGGCAGGTTCTTCAAGTATTCCCGGCAGGCGTGGGTGGGGTACAGCTTGTTGAGCTCCCTGTATACAACTCCCCAAGTCTTCACTTCCTCCTCTGTGAACTCAATTTGAGGAATGGGATCCCCACTGTGACGAAAAAAAAAAAAAAAATTCTCTTATTATCAGATTAAAACTTAAAACATTTCAAAAATAACCAACTAAAAGTCAAATAAAAACTCACTGTTTGAATGACATGGCAATATCAGCAAAGTACTTTCGCCTTTTCCGGTAAACATTGTCCTTGAAACCCTGAAAAGAGCAAGATAGAAGGTTTCAGTGTAATTCAAGTAAAAGTAGTGTCCACTGTGGTGATTTAACCAGAAGGCTAATTTGACTTTATACATACTGGATGATCTGCATCCAGCTCAGAGCCGTACATGAGGACACGGTTTGCACACTTGTCCAAGTCTGAAATCTTCTTTGGGAACCAGGGGACATTATACATATCTGAGACGAGAGGAAGACATTGTGTTATTTTTCTCTTGTAAGTAATATACTTGTAATACATTATCTGCAGGATTTTATTTACCTTTGTCTTGTAGACACGAGTTATCTGGAGGCTCCATATCAACCACGTTCACATGCTTCCGCAGCAGCTGGATGATTTCATTCAGTTGTTCGTGGTCGCTGTCGCAGTCCACAAATATTTCAAACTCAGAGTTGCGTCTCTTGGATTTCCTGGACTCTATGTGGACGAGGTTGACGTGATTTTCCTGCAAGAAACATAAAGAACCATTGCTAAGTTGCCCACAATTGTTTTTATTATCAGTGCTAATAATGAATAGGCTAAGTGTAGGTATAACATGGATGTCCAGATAAAAAATGAAGTCAGGTGACTTTGTCCTTACTTGGAAGAGTTTGAGTGCCTTCACTAGTCCTCCCACTTCATTCTTGAGGGAAAAGATGATTGTTGCTCTCTCTTTTTCTGATGTATTCTTCTTTTCTGAGTTTTCTTCAATTTTTGTGAAGGTCGATTTGTTTATCTAAAAGCAGTAATGAAAAAAAAAAGGCAAATTTTTAGTTGGGGAACAGCTTTGCCATTGACTGACCGACTGACCATGGTCATGTGAGGAGATTTTCTACTTTACTAAACTTTTTAGTAGTTTAGTTTAATCTGTGATTATATTACCCAGACAAATGTCCAGACTTTTTTTTTTTTTTTTTTTTTTACTGCAAATCCAGAAAGTGAAGAACTGATCAAACAGAAAAATAATTAAAGTAATAGGGCACCACTATGTAATAGTTGAATAAAAACAGCACCTAGCCCTGAACTACCAAGTCTTGTAACCCTTCAACACCTTTATCTCAGAGTACTGAGTTCAATTTTCTCTAAGAGCTTTTTAAAAACCCGGTGAACAAAAACAAGCAAACATAAGCTGCATCTGAAGCTAAATAATCCTGTAACCCTGTAAAGGAAACATGGGTAATTTCTTGAAAATCATTTTGAGAAAAGAAGCAATATTAATGCAGAAGCTTTAGATAACATGTGGATGATAACGACCCCTCTTCCATTCAGCACCCTGGACAGCGCTCTCACGTACGCGCTGCACAAACAAGTGAACATTCACGTAATCCTGCATTAGGTTTTAGTGGGAAGACTTAACTGAAGACTTTACGAGCCAACAGCACAGAAAAACGAATCTGTTATGATTGACTGCAACGATTTCGCGTTCACTTCAGTTTTGCAGACACCTTTTGAGACACTTTTTTTTTTTTTTTTATTCCTGTCATGCGCAACTACGCTCTGGAAAACCAATTTTAATGCATAAAACTGTATTTTTTTTTAGAAAGTGGATAAAAGGCAATACAATAATCAGTTACATTTAGTCGTGTTGCTTCCTACCACATGTCGCCCATCGAGTATTGTGCAGGCAACGCGGCACAACAGATTTCGGTAGAGCCTTGTCGTTGTCGGTACCATCGTATTGGAGACTGGATCAGGACGCTTCCCAGGGTCAACTCTTTGCGTCTCGGTTTAACGAAGATGAACTTGTCTCTGTCACAAAGAATCGCCTTACTACAATCTCATTTAGAAAGCCGGGAAGCCTATTATTAGCTCCTCGCGTGCGAGTGTCTTAAAAGACATTAGGCAGCGTTTAATCAGCGCGCGCGTTAGGCTGCGGGATGATTTACAGCTGCTCCTCATTAAAACTTTACAAAGATACAGGATACAATTAGCCTGTGGTTTTAAAAAGACAATGCGAATACATACTAAATATAGAGTATGGAGTTTGAGAGTTGTGGCTTACATCTGTTTTTCTGATGAAGAGCCCCGTGTTGAGATTGAAAAAAGTTTCAGCTGAAGTTCTCAGAGACACGATCGCATCTAAAAAGTAAACATTTAGACTTTAAAAAAATAAAAATAAAATAAAGTTTGGGTTTTATGTCCCCTTATTCATGTCGCGAAATTGTGGACATGCAAAAAGGAAATAGGCAAAATGTAACCAGCACAGAAAAATCTAACAGAAATTGTAAATAAATAGATAATAAAGAATCAATATGTTGTATAGATATTAATCGTATATGTAGGCTACGTTATGGTTAGTTGATCGTCACAGGATCGTACAGTGTCATTTGCATGTGCTCAAAGGGGAAAATACAGACCCTGGTCGCTTTATCTTTTATCTAATCTTTCTTCTACCATGGAAATCCGCAATCGATGCGCAGGTTGAGCAATGATTAGTCCTACATGGCATGCAATTTTAACTTAGCCTATTCCTCTTTAACCCTCTTAACTCTTTGACGTAATTTACTGCAACAAAACGGCTTAAATTAATCTGCGCTGACGACAAAGTGTATGCATATTCATTAAGACGCCCAGGACCGATCTATCCACCAACACTAGCCTTCAAATATCACAAACGAGAAAAAGAATCTACCTTTTTGGTTTTAAAGCCTTTCTGAAGTTGTTATCAGAAAAAAAAAAAAAAAAAGAACCATTCATTTGTCATAGAAGTTCTTACCTCATTGTTGAGCAGCTTTTCTTCAAAGCCAATGTTCATGGAGTCAAAAGATCTTCCTCTACGTGGTCCCTCGTTTTTGTTTGAGTACATGTTAAAATACTGCTGTTTTTGCCCTTTGTGCTATTCTTACAGGTGGGTTATCTAACTAGCCTCCTCCTTTGTATAATGGACTGTCTACCCCGACAGGCAAGCGCGCCTTGCTATTTAACAACAGGCTGAAATAGGTGGGGGCCATAATCCCACCCACAGGAGCAAATGAAAAAAGAGCAGCCTTGCTGCGTCAGTTGGGAGAGAATGGGGTATCTCTTATTTCACCTAAAGGCATAAGGCAGTGTCAGTGTAGTGAGATCAATCACAATGCCTTAAAGATTGAAATAACAGAATGAACTATACCTCGATAAAACATTTACCATTTTTGTGTGAAAGTAAAATCAGAATCTGCCATGAAAGTGTTAAAAACAGGACACAAATCCTTATTTTATCTTCTTGTGAAAGGCAGGTCTTATACCAATTCAAGCCAAATATGGAAAATGTGTCATCATACTGATATATATATATATATATATATATGAACTCGTTCAGTTTGGATACAAACTGTGTTTTTGCAGTGCAAGCTGTTAATTCTCCTTGTTTGTTGACACCTTGAGACTAAGAAGAGGTCAAGGTTTAAGAGGATTTAAGTGTAGCCCACCTGCCTTCATTGTACAGTGATCCAAACATGCCCCCCCGTTTTCAAATCCAGCCCTCTGCAGTGTAAGCACCTCTGGGTTCTCGTGCACATAGCACATATAATCTGCATGTTTTCTCGTCTTTAACACTGTGAGCCTTTTAATAAGATCACGACAATCAGTAGGAAAAGCTTCAGGGGCCGAATCTTGAAGAGTGAGCACACATGCGTGCAAGAGACCTCATTACTTTAAACAGATGACACCACTGTTCTCTAAGCTATAGTCACTTTACAATTGGGGACGATGAGATGTCTTTGTCTGTCAGGCTGGGTACACAAGTCTTATGCAGTGATAGATACATGTGGCTGATGCACATGCTTCTTGTCTCAGGTGGTCCTGGCCTGTGTCACTCGTGACATGGACAGATGCTTTACACAACAAGAACCAGTGAAGGGGACTTCCTGTTTTTAGGAACTGAATCCAGATCAGATCACTGCGTTACCAGGGGCGTCTGGCTTTGTTCTGGTGCTGCAGGTGTTGTCCATTTAAATCCATCCAGCACCAGTTAAATAAACATGAATCAAAGAGTCTTTAACAGTAACTACATCTACCAGTATGCATTGCTCATGAAGTCCACAGCAACAGAAACTCCCTGTAAGATCAGAGAGGCAGGAGTGAACATGTTTACCTGACTGTTTGCCTATAAGCTCCTCATTAACACAACCTACATATGACAAGCAGTTCTGCTTCAGTGTGCAAACAATATACACTACCCGAGCCGCAACACACAACAGATGAACAATGAATCTGTCAAGTGTTGAAAGCTCACCTGAAACACAGAACGTCTCCAATTTACTTCTGCTTACAGTTAGCACAGTTGGTCACATTCGACAATACTAATCACACCAAAAATGACATGTAGGTATTTTATAAAAACATAGACTTGATAAGAGAACATAACAGTCACCCACTCTGTTTTTTCTGTTGGCTATATAATTATAATTAGTGCCAAAAAAACAACAGCCAATCAATTGAGTAGGTGATGATAAAATCAGTTCGCAAAAATATTAGATTTTCAGCAGTAGTTTCAAATATTTTTGTTTTGTTAGATCTCTTCAAATAGAAGAATTTTCTCCTTTCTACTTGATCCATAACTATTCATTAAATATTAAAATATTAAATATCTGTATTATGGAGAGAAAAAATGAAGACGTTACCACTCAGGAACATCCTGTTACTAGTTTTATAATTTTTACTTTTCTGACATAAACATCAGGCTTTAGATGGACTAAACCACATGTTCTTTTAAACAAAGCTTGGAAAATCTGTTAGTTGTTGGTGTCATTGATTCCTGATAAGATCTCCAATGCTAGGGCAGAAGACTAATACTCAAAACAAAATTGCATCATAAGAAATAGTAATACATTTAAAAATGGTAACTGTTGAGTTGTTGACTGTTATGCTATTGCACCATTTTGATGGAGGTGTTTAAGAGACGTGATATCTAGTCCAGTCTAGGTGCATCATCATGTGATACATGATCTGGCAACATTTCTTCTTTGCTGCCCCTAAACAGGAGTTTTGCATTGGCACCATTATAACTATCTTTGCTGCGAGCTGCTGTTTGTAAGGATAAAGAAGATTTAGTTTGGGGCGGTGGGGGTGTATGTAAAAATAACACTGTCAGATTGTTGCATCACAAAATTGCCAATATGCAAAACCTTATTTATTCAGATACAATTCTGATACTCTTACTGGTATCTGAACATCTCTAAATAAAATCCTCCATGCATGGCACGATCATTCCTACCAGAATACAGCTGTGAACGTCACTAGTAACTCCCCATAATGCTGCTGCTGCCTGAGAGGCATTGTAGACCCTATAGAGCTAATATAGATGCTGAACCTATGACGCATACATGGAAAAATTGTGAAATCCAAGAAATGGTATTGTGACTTGTTTACTCATCACGAGGAGAGAAAGCATGGGAAAGGACAAAGCCTGCTGAATGGTTTGTCCATGGTGCGGTTCATGATTCAGTAATGAACTGTTCTTTTTATGAATCCCCAAACGCTGATATGGTTAGTTTATAAGCAGACCTACTTAGAAATACATTTTAACAGACACAAACACTTCAATGCTGCAGATGCTCTGGCCATGTCTTTGATCTTTTCCGCTCCTGGTTCAGACCTTTTTGATTTAAATCAAAGACTACTGTATGCAGTTTACAAGTCATGCTTGTTCCTGTTAACTACAACTTTCTTTGATAGATATGACTACACTATCTTTTACAAGAAGCCCCTAGGATTTTGGTGTATGTAGTCTCTGCTCTGTCATTTAGAGGATAATAGATACTTGTGCTTTGAGTTGCTTTACCTAGGGTCACAGAGGGCAGCATAATTAAGATGGCTCATTGTGGTTTACTACCATGATGACATACACACCTTGTGTGTTGAGCTTCTGAGGATAATTAGCTTCAAGGGCCAGCTAATGTGCCCCAAGAATTCAGCCATTAATGAAGGTGAAGATTGAACTCATTCTCATCTCCAGTAATCCATTAACACTGTGACATAAATATTCTTTCACTTTAGATTCCAAAAATCATGTTGACGAGTACTTATTTTGGTCCTTAAATTTCTTGTTTCCGTGTTAATATATACTTTCACCTGGTTACAGCTCCCTGAACTCGGTCACCTTTACTCAATGTTGATATCTTCTGTGTCATGATGGAGCTCTTTGTCCACTACTGCAGTCAGATGGTTAGATTACATAGACTTTTGGCATGGACATCACAGATACATTGGACGAACTAGGTGCATTGTTTAAGTGGTTTAGCAAACATGCTAGTTCTCAACACCTGTCCACAGGAGGCTTTTGAAAAGGAAACATTTTGAAAAATAGGAAGAACTCGTGAAGAAGCTTATGTTGAAGGATCAAGGTGTCATTTTGAAAGAATACATAAATACAATTTGACCTAAAACAATTTTACAAGGCCTTATTTCTGATCCCTCTTGAGGTTATTGAAGGGGAGATTCTGTATTGTCTGAGCCGCACTCTGGCCAGTCTGTCCCAGTTCTGTTCACTTCAATCAGAGGGATTTACTGGTAGAGTCTGAGCATCAAGCTGCAAGACACCTCTCTGGCTAATCTCACCCCTGGTACTAAGAAAATGCCCAACATGAGCATTAGACTGTATTAGAACATAAGCCTTACACCTCATGGGGCATTTTGAAGACAAATAATACTGAAATATTACAAGAATCATTCCTTGGTATTTTACATCCTTCAAAGGAAGCTCAGAAGTCCCTCTGTTTTTGAGATGGATTTACTTTCTAGTTAGAGTTATGCAAAGGGAAAAATGTCACCTGCTATGGAGGTGTCAGACTTTTGTTACATTACTGTAATCTTAAACCTAATAGTGTCAACTTGGTCATTTCAGTTTTATAAAACTGCTACAGCA